CCACGGTCACCAACGTTCGTATAGATCCCCTGAAAAGAAGTGTGCGCAGTCTGGAAACCTCTTCCAACAAGATGGTCTTCTGTCACTCACATCAGGGAACGACTGTACAAAGTTATAAGCGTTTGCTTTACGTAGAGCAGCGGTGATTTCCGCGTCGGTGACATTCTCTCGTCCGTAGCGGATGTTCTGAATGAGGGAGTGTCTTCAGAGGAACAGGTCTTTCACCGATGGACCAACCTGTTCAATCGTTGTATTGAAAAGCATCGGCTCTTGTGAGACGACTCCGACGTAATTTCGAAGGAACTCGATGTTAATCTTGTCGATTTCCACACCATCTATTGTAATCTGCAAAAACTGATTGATCGGAAGAATTGATTGTCTTCTCTACTGTAGGCCGAAAGGAATCGCGCAAGGACCAAAAGGAATGATTTTCCATTCCGCCACGTTGATGGCGGGAGTTTGGATCCACCGCTTATTAGCGGGAACGCCCGTTTTCTATTTATGGTGCAAATAATGGAACCTTCATAATCTCGTCCTACGAGATGAGAAGTGGTTCCATCGATCTTTCAAATCAATCTATTGATTTTTTGATTGCTGTATTATAGATTAGAACAAAGAAGTGCATGGAAGGCATACCTTTCCATCCTCTGGATTGTAATATCGCAGTAACAATTGGATTATGGTACTTTTTCCACAACCACTAGAACCCACCAATGCTATCGTTTCACCAGGATTTGCTTCGAATGAAACTCCCTACAATGATGGGGAGATTAGAGCAAGTCTTCTAGATAAATGGAACAGGCAAACCTTAAGAATAGGGACATCTGGTCGCGTTGGATAGGTGAATTTTAGATTGGAAACTGTTACTTTCCCTTTGAGATTCGATGGTTTCACGCCATCCGTTGAATACGAATCGATTTCTGGTTCCTTGAAAAGTAAAGAGAATCAAATACTTCAAGGTGTAGCCAGCTAACTAGCCATACTACGCGTCAAGAGCCGCTTCGCGTCCGCGCGCATCCCGACTCGGCGAACGACATTATTTGAACCTACCCGATCAATAATCTGATAGAGAGATCCGGCTGCACCCATAGCGGTACCGAGAACAGCAAACTGAGGCCCAGCTTGTCCGAGCGCCATGGAACCCATCATTACGGAGAAGAAAACCTTCAGAAGATCGATTGCTTTTTTAAGAGAAGGTTTCGAAGATGGAACTTACTGTCATCACAGTCCCTCCGTTCATTTGACCCTTGAAGACAAAGTCCGTGCCGACCCAAAATGCCAGACAATACGATGAGAACATGATCAGGAATGTTATTCCCAGACCAACGCCAATGAAGAAAGATTTCTTGATTCCCGTCGATTTACCATCTTCCAACGCTTTTTGGTACCTGAACACTATGTGGAATGACTAAAAGCTCCTTTAGCTTGAATTCACAAAAGTACAATAATTTTTTTAGTAAATTTGGATTTGTTGAAACACAGTTAGAAAGGTTGGAACTCGAAAGATTTGCGAAATGCTAGGCTTGGACGTGAGTGGCCGCGTGACGGTCCCTCTTCAGGGGTGGAAAGGGCGGTTCTGACTGCAGGTCCACAGCGTTTCGATCCCGACTACGAACAAAAAATGAAAAACGTTATGTGATGTCCTTCAAACTATGAATATATTCATATGCCGATAGATAAACCCTCAACATCTCGCGGCTATACGTAAACCCCATCTAGATCGAAAGCAAAATGTTAGTTTTCCTTACCAAAAAAGTTATTACTTTTCTAACAATTAGAATATAGTCTATAGGATAGACCCTTTTATAGTTAATCGACTCCGTTTCTAAGAAGCGCACCGGCATTCCCGTAGTGGTAATGCGCATGGGGAATATACAGTGGCAGCGGTGGCTAGCCGATGAAAAGAGCGCTTTCATCCTCCTATTCACGCCTAGTCATGCTACCAGATGGTCAGTGGATTGAATTCCGGATCGATAGCCACCCAAGCCCATTGACTCCGTAGGGATGGGAGGTCTGGTTGGCTTGGGCGGCTAAAAGATCGTCCGGCATCCAAGATTCGATATACTGCCCATTTGATGAGCACCACTTAGCACTGCACTTCTCAGCCATAGAAGTTAAACATGGCGAGAAATGGAGAGGAGATGGTCGTACCTTTCGCACTCATAAGGTTGGCCATTGAATGCGATGACGGTCCTGATCGATGTGAGCACCTCTTCAGCGATTCCACCAGCCACAGCATACTTCTTAGCCTCGCGAGTCGCTGCTGTAGCCATCAACTGCAACTCATAATGTTGCACTTGGACGAGACTCTTTGAGGGAACCCTGCCCCATCAGAGGTCAAAGAAAAACGAGAAACAAACCTTAGCAATGAACGCCCCACAGATGATCATAAACGGTGCCAATGACATCATGATCAAAGTGAGTTTCCAGTCGTAGGTGAATGCCACGATGAAACCGCCGAAGAACTGAGCCACAAATTGAATCATCAAGCCGAGCTTGTCGCCTGTACCTTCTTTGACTCGTTCGAGATTGCTTAACAGATAGGTTTCGGGACTGCTGGAACCAGGTGAAGGAAGGCTTTGGCTACTCACTCAAACAGCTTTGTAGCTAGCGTTCCTGAATTGTTCTTATCAAACCAGGGGATGTCTTGGCGAAGAATCGACTTGAAAAACTGTCGCCTCAGTTGGTTCACCAGATTTTCGCAAACAGTCAGAAAACATATTGCCTAAACAAGCTATTCTATTGGATCTGCGTTTTTCCTCTATACAATTAACCAAAAACTGGAAACTCAAAGTGCAGGGAAATCGCTGCAATCATGGAGATGAAAAGTTTAAAAAAATCAAATGGAACCAACATCAAATAAATCAAAAAACATAAATGGGCCCAACTTTGGATGAGATCTTTGAAACTACTGCACAATCCCTGATTGGTGGCTGCGCAGTAGTGTTTCAAGCACCCCGCAAGCACGCCCATAATGTCCACCCCAAAATCAGAGATCGTTCATCATAGCAGACCGTCCCACCCCACAGAAAATAGTGGCAGGTCATGAAGAGACTGAAGGGTGGGAAAGAGCATTCGTTTGCAGAAATCCTGACATACTTAATTGTTGGTATTTCGGAATTGGATTGGGGTATTAAGCCATAAATAGCAGTAAGACCAGAGTGCAGAGAAGAAGAGAGGGCTGAGACGCAAAGGAAATTGCCAAGCGCGCGATGGATGGCACAAGCCTTTCTGCGTCTCTGCCATCGGACTCTGTTTCGTTCCGCTATTAATTGTGCGAACTAGTCTGAAAACGATCATACCTGAATGGTGGCAGCCGTGAATATTCCACAGCCCAGATAGACGTATTTCAGACAATTCTGGATAACATCATGTTCAAATTGATTAATCGCTGAAAATAAAAGAAGGCGGTGAAAAAATTTAAAAAAGGGAAAATATTAGTCAGATAAACCTATATCAGCACTCAAAAAATTAATTTTCTCGAAAAAACAACTGTCAAACTTCTGATTTTAGCAAGAATTTGCAATTTAAAGACAGGCAAAATTCTAAAACCGTTTTGTAACAAAGTTGGGGCAACAGAATTTTGTGAACTGATAATGACAGTCGAACGAATGCTCGAACAAAAAAATTTAACTGCAGTTAGAGTACACCAAAAAATTATGACTAAAGGACAAAATACTGCGAAATAGGAAAGCTCGCTTACTAGTAGTGTTTCCATTGATATTCATGAAGTTCTGTGAAATATTACCCTGAAAATTAAGAGTTTAGTTATTTATTTCTGAGACCTTTCATGGATAAGAAGACGTGGTGCAACTGCACACACCCAAAATGGTGACTTACCATAATAATAGACATCATTGGAAGTCCTATACCAGTACCAATAGCGACAACTGAGCCAATCATGAGCAGCACCTTATCAAATGTAGTTGTGTAGCGGAACTGAAATCACTGCCATTATTAGTGCTTGGAATTTTGAAAAGATGAGAAGGTATCGGAAAGCAAAGAGGGAAGATAACATAGGTGATTTGGTATGGTCCTATTAGCTCTGGGAATTTAAAAAAATTTGAATGCGTACGTAACCCATACATTGACTTATCAGCCGATATACAATCCAAAGCTTCTAGGTTCCCGACGAGTCAGGAAACAACTAACTAACCCCGGAAGACGGAAAACCTTTCTTTTTCTCTGCCGTCCAACCGAGATTCATTCCCCGAACCACGTGTACGATAATGCACGGCTTTATGGGATGGAGTGGCGTACTGGCAAGCGGGCGAACTATCACACCCGCATGGTAAGTGGGTAGAATCACCTAGGCCAACCAGGCCTCCCATCTCTCCGGGATCGGTTAACGGGTACCGGAATCGTGAGGACAGTGTTGGCTTGTTCATAGGGGCCTGTCAGCGCATTTAATGGCCCAGGCCTTGCACACCTTCGAAATGTCACTACGACTGTGATTGAAAGCCATGCGCGGAGGCGCATCCCAAAACGGAACGGACTAACGCCAAAAACTTCATCCTTTTTTGATTGAAATCGGTGTATCATGCGCTCAGAGCCCCTGTAGTCCCAATCCTAAACCCAATCGAAGCATGAGTTCCAGCCGTTATTACAGTAGTCCTTGTTCGATCCCTTCTTCGAGTCTTTCATTCTCTTTTAGGTTAACCGAACGGGTTGTTTGAAATCGTTGTATTTTTACCTGGAAAAATAGCCAACTATTCTGTTTTTCTATCTGCTCCTCTAAACTCCTCTCTCTCTCCTCATATCTACCGCTCTCTCTTTCCTCGGTCCCGTTTAATTCCCCTCGCGTTCGGGGAATGTCATGTTGCGCCTGATCTTTGAGGTTTGTGACACCCTTCCGCTCGCGATCTTTGCTCAAAGGCCGTTCAGCGATGACGAAACGTTCAATGGCGATTAACAAATGGACCAGATGTGTGAGACTTTATACGTTTCGTAATTCATTCCTACACTTCTTTTCTATCATTTTGTGAAATTGATGAGATAGTTCTGGAAAAGTGGGAATTCCCGAAAAGAAAGCGAAATCGAGAGAATATCATAAGGAAAGAGACAAAATGCAAGAAACGAACCAACTGAACGATACTGGCTTTGGGCACATCTTCTTTTCTGAAAGTAAAACATATGATTTGTCGTTTCTGAACAAGGTATGTTCCTTTATTTCCTTAGAAAAACATTTTCAGCCCCTTCTTTCAACTTGTTTTGAACACATTCCCATCTAGCAGAAAGTAAAAGCAAAAAGCCGCTAATCTCAAGGTCCTTAGTACAGCTAAGGGGCTTAGAAAGCCCTCATCCGCAATTCCTTTCGCCAATCTTTGCCCTATAACGTTCTCTGCCTCGGACTGCTCCGCTATCGACAAATGTCCCGGCACCGTAGGCTTTCGCAGGAAACTTGAGATTAACTCGGAAATTTTTAACGAAGACAATGAGGAAATTGAGGGTGGGATGTAGAAGGGCTCGGCCCTAGTAAAAATCGTTGGAATGAAGGAAAGCTTATTACCCGGACGCAATAGTTATTACAACCTCGTTGTCATCATCGATCATTTTCGTTGGGTGCGCCGGGCGCATTCTTTTGTTAGGAACTATGTTGACAAACATTCAGACATCTATAGATACAATGTTTACAGGAAGTGGTCAGTCACAAACTAGCATTCTGTCTTTCCCAATGAGTAGTCCTACTTTGTTTCCCAATAAATCTTAACAGCGCAAACGAATCACCTTGAAGAATCCAGCAGCTTCTGCTCCACAGTACCATTTCGAGCCCTTTTTTTGGAAAATGCTCTCATTAGACTGGCGGGTGAGGGCGGAGAGGTGGAAATGCGGCCGGCCAGTCAGAGTCGGATCGACGTGGGTGAATGGATGGACATGTGCGCAGACAGTGAAGGAAACGCCGTTTCGTAACTAACTTGTTTGCAGAGTGATGACTGGACAGGGCCTGGGGTTGCCCAGGTGATCCTCACGGCCTCTCCTCCCCCGCCCCTCTCCCCGGCTGTATCCCAATAACTGTTAAAGCTCTGGCCAGGTTTAGGTGAGAATTCCAGTTATGACGCATGAATTCACCAAGTTCCCAAAGGTGACAATTCGTCAATTGATGAAGGATGTTATTTTAGCACAAACGAGCGTTCTTCGAATGTCTAGGGGTTTTTTGTTTACAAACAGTATGAGTGTAAACAAAAGTATAATGTTACGAAAGATCCCCATCAACATCCTAGAACTAGTCGTGCATAGGGACCTTTTATAGGCTTGTGGAGATAGTTGCATGGCTCAAAGATGCATTCAACTGGATCAAAATTCCGCTTGTTGTCTTATTGGAGTGCGCCATAAGGTCGAACACGTTTCAAAATCACAACGGCCTTGGAATTGGCATACTTGGTTTACACAATGACTTGCAATGCCGCCTGATTCCAATCGAGTGCCTTCGTTCTCTCATGAAATTCTGGAGGCCCTGGCTGACTTGGATTATTTGATTCAATGCTAATCAATGGATCAAGGTTTGTTGGTACTAGGGCACGAAGAACAAGAACTCGACTCTGACATCGAAGGCTACATGGAAACTACACAGGACAACACGAATTGGTTAAAAAAGATTTTTGCCCCCCCCCCTACCTCCTTCCTTCAATTCCACCCAGAATAGACAACAACTTTTTTCATTACCTTCTGCGCTATCAAACGAAAAGCCGAGCAGGAATGTGGGGGCGGGGATTAGAGGGGGAAAGTAGAGAGGGGAGTACTGATTCAATTATATAGTCAGTTGCGACTTGTTTCATTAAAGACACATTTACGCCTTAAGTGGCCGGGCTGGGTGACTCGGTACAGGTCGTATTCGGTGGGTTTTATTTACGTGCACATAAACAAAATTCGAAGGGTTGTCCGCGTGTCCAAAGTCTAGGGAAGATCCCATGAATTTATAAAACTCCACCTGATTCGAATATTTAGGCTGGACCCTTTTTTCTAGAAAAAGCTACGAAGGCGCTGGATGAGTGTCAACAAAGAAAGGGGTGTGATAAAGGACCACGTTATCTCCGCAGTTATTGTCTCCCGTATCTCTATGTAATTCATGGTAGAGGTGGTACTGCCTAAAACATACCTCTTAGACGATTTTCCTGGCCTTCTATCTACGTTACGTTTTGAAAAGTTATGAACCGGGCAAATTATGAGAAGGTGGCTGTCCCTAAGTGCCGTGCTCCTTACAAAAGTATCAGCTGCTAAGTATAAAGACGGTTCGGAGCCAACACCTCATACTTACTCTACTAAGAGGTACCGAACTTATTCAGAAGAAGCGGATATTGGTTTTGGAAGGGTTTGATGCTGCAATCGTGCCTGTATGCTGGACCTCTGCTTGGTATAGCATGGAGTAACCCCTAACCCAACGTCATGATCCTCTTGGGAACGCTACAACGAGGTGCCATTAAAAAAAAGTGTCCGTCGCTGATCAGAAGCAGTGTTTTCGAAAAGGAGTTATTTTCGAAACTAGGCTCTTATCAGACTCTCTGGAACTATGTCCTGAGAGAACGATTTTTTGCTAAACTATTAAGACACCCACTTTTCGCCTTCGATCTGGCTGTCGTCTTGCCCTTTGCTGTCAGCAACTTTCCCATTCTTCTTCAAAAAGCCCATATTACCTGAAAAATTTGGTTCATTCCACATGGAATAATTTGACTGGCCAAAGTTCATGTAAAAGCTTTACAAATCAGTATTAGAAATACCCAAAAATGTATGTCACGGCAATGTATTGGACACCATTGTGTGTGCGTGTACCAAAACGCGGAAAGAAGATTTACACAAGAATGCAGCATGATTAATAAACAGTACGGATAAGTTAAATATTTCGAAAAGCTGGAAAGGAGTGGCCATGGAATCGAAAAATTCGAAAAAGGTGCAGGGAAAGTAATTAAAAATCGTTCAATGAGACAGTATTCAGCCTCAATTCGGCCTCCATAAGCCGTTTGCTAAGAAGTTAAGCGTTCTAGCTGAAGTATAGTCTATTGAGAAACAGTTGACATGCTTCAAGACGAAAAACAAATTTGAAAAACAAAATCGGCATTGAAGTTGTATTTCTCGGAATTGAATCTGGCGAAACTGCCTGCATGATCTGCCGATGGTGTCTTATGCAAGTGATCGCTGCTTATCAGTTTCAGGACTTATCTACCCCAACCCATTGTGATTTGTTTCTACAATATGACGAAATGGAGCACTTCCAGATTTTTTTCGCATCACAAAGCATAACTTAGCAAGAGATAAACACTGAAAAAAGTTTTGCGGATCCACCCTTCCGTCTGCAACTAATGTACTTTAGTTGTCCCTTCTGTTAAAATAGGTGGAAAATCCAGCGAGAACGAAATGTATGCAACCCTTTACGTTTTTCATTCAAAAGCACTTATAATTGAGTAAACAATAGCAAACCTCCCCAGTGTATCAATGCAACTGACTAAGTAGGGGCATGAATTGAATGAAACATGAAAATAAAATAAAATAAATTACGGTCAATTCCCTTCAACACCTCCGAGATCAACAGTTTGTATAAGTAGGATAAGGATAATGTCTCTGGAGTTTGTCCATCCTGTTACTGGAATGCGTCCTTGAATTTGATTTCAATTAAAAATTTGAGAAGTTTGAATGTGTGAGTGCCAGACGATCTCAAAATCAGTGCATTTATACTCCCAAATGAGTCTGGTACCAATTGTACTACCTCGGCGGGATGGAGAAATTGGCTAGTCTGAGCGAGTATCGATGCAGGATTCGAACCATGGATCATGCATCTGTGACTGAACTCCACTTGCTCCTACACCATCTCACTCCAAGAGGAGCTATCTCCTAATATGTTTGTGCGGTCCTCTCCCGCATTAAATTTTTTGTTTTTGTTATGGTCTTTAATTTACATTTATAGGCTTTGCGCTTGCGATTCTACACCGAGGGATTCCTCAATGGAATTAAATTTCCCAAGCGAGCTTTCTTCTGCTTCTTCTATGGTTTAGTGAATCCCTCGGTAGACAGCAGTCCTAGGGAATGAGTCTTTTGAAGCGAGCTTGTTCCCCAGTTTTCCTGCAAGGAAACAGTAGCTGCACATATTTGCTTTTCCATATATTTATCCACTTCTTTTCTCACTTATCCCATCAGAAGTTTTCGCCATTTTCATTGATAGCGGTTGAGGGGAGCAAGTGGTGATGGAGTGAGACGCGTCCTATGGTGTGCTCGAGACAGATCGAAGCACTTATCAGCACGTTCACACTTTGACAAAAACTTTAAGCTCCAAAGCCTACTATTAACTCGACCATTTTCTGAAAATAGTCATTACTTGCACTAAGGGGTTGTAAATAAGAGCTAAAACTTCTGATAAAAAATGTTTACATACAGTATGCATATGTACATAGAATGAGGGAAATGAAGGATTCAACAGATGAAGGATAACCGCGAATATATAAGGCGAATTCATAAAAGGAAGGGAATGTCCTGTAAGGAATCTTTGAAGATTCGCCGCTAATCAATACAGGGTTAACTTAATTACCTGAAAGCAGCTGCAATCAGATATTGGAAGCAGGTGGAAGTCTTTGCGTTCAAATTTAGTGTAGTATAATGGCAGGCAACGAATTTTATAATAGCAAGGTATAAGTAATGCTCACAAATACATATAAATATTTTCTTCCGAGATATCTTTCCTGAACCTATATTCCTAGTCGTTTGTCTCCTTATACAGTCTAGGATTATCTCAAAGGCCCTGGACACCTAGAATGGATTAATCATTAAAGTATGAAGATAAAGGTCCTACTAGAAGTGCCAGGAATACCTGTTTGCTCATGGTCCAGCCTCTAGGTTATTGTTTCCTCAGCTTTTTTGCCCATGCAGTTGTAATGCAAAAAAATTGTTCGGATATAATGTACAAATGCCATTACTTCTTAGTCTATATAGAGTATTTAAGGACCTTAAACCAGTCATAAATCCTCTCAAGATCAGAGGCTCTATTAGCAAGGCAAACGTCGATCCAAGAAGTTATCCAGATCTGTGTGTGCCAACGGCACTATCCCCTACAGTACCTCCCGACAGAACCGCACAAATCATAGCCCAAGCAGAACACCTTAGGGTGACACGAACTTTATATGACGCCCCAGAATCGGCACTGATTGCGCTGAAAAGCGATTTTGTTTTCGCTGATAACAAAACAGGTCTCAGAATCGTACCAAATGAAGGCAGGTTGTAGTTGTTCTAAATTTATGGAAGGCAATGAAAGGCAAAGCTTTTACAAACAAATATCTGCAACCACTAGAAAACATAGTGGAAGTGGTTAGTTTAGGCAACTTTTTCTGAAGCTTATCAGTAACTAAGCGATTAGCTGATCACAGAACAGTGGGAGGCGTATGCTTGTTTAAAAGCGAAATAGCACATTGAACTCGCCAAATAAATGGAAGAATTTGATCCTGATCTATATAAACACTCTAGCTTTCACTTGTTGAACAGTCCAAGGTATCCTCTTAGAGACCTATTCAGTTACAGCTTCGCATGATATGCATATTTTTGACTTTTAATTAGAACTATGGCAGGTTTCGAGCTTTTCTGTTGGAGAGCTGAGATGTTCTCATTATATGCGATGCTGAGCAGTAAGCACGTTTCCAATTTTCAGGATCAAATATTCATGGAAGAAGGATAATGACGGGGTCCTTGGCACTGTACAATTCCGTTTGTGGGAAGAGCCCTCCCATCCTCCATTCAGAATCATAGCGGTGTCCTGAATGCACATGTGGTCTTTACAATGACGTAAGGTAGCCATCCTAGCCTGGCGCGATCCGGAATTCGTACTATGGACCATGTGCTTGTGATAGTGCGCCACTTGCCACTACATCAACTCCTCCCTCATTTCAAAGTAGTGAAGTAGAATCATCAAAAATTTTAGATGCTCAGATTAGGCTCAATGGCTAGAGGGAGACTAGGCACTCTACAAGTCTGCTTCTTCTGAAACTCGCTTGCTATCTAGGCTAATGGCTACATTGAAGACGCAATAGGCCAGCATAAACACTGCTTGTCTTCAGCTAGACTTTTTTGGGGTAAATACGCTACTGAATGTTGGAGCCAGAAGCATAATGGTTGGTACAATCCGAATAACCTCTGCTGACCACCTCGCCTTCTTCGATAGGCCATGCCATGCCAGTTGGCCATGTAAGGATAAGCAACAAAAAAACCAAACAAGTTCTGTTTCACATCGGTAACTAGGTAAATGGAGTAACATCAGCCTATCAGTGCATAGAAAGGAACAGCTAATGATTGCCATCTGATCTCTCCTGGAGAATGAACAACGAGTGTTTACTCAACAAACTAAACAAATCGCCTTGCGCCATTGGTTTGATGAAGCTCCACGGCATTTCTGTTTTCTTCAGAGAAATCTCTAGGATTTGACTTTTCTCATTGACTCGCGAAAAAAAAGATCGCTGCTTTTAACTATTATGTATGATAGATTGTCTACTGGAAGGAATTGCCGTTTTGGAGCTGTTGCTGGATCATTTTATTACCTTCCCAAAGAGCCCAAAACAAATTCGCAAGGTTGTTATTAATCTACCAACGGCCCTTCTGTCGCTTCGTTTGTGACGTACTCCCAAAGCAACGGGAGACTCACCACCAGGGAAGGGATGAATCTGCTCTGGAACACTGCATACTAGGGGGAGCAGGAGCAGATTAGGTGGAATGTAACTGGAACCTCATCATTGGCATTCTCGAGATTAGCGGTCTAGGCAAGCCAACAGGAGCGAGAACATGGCTATGCAGTCGTCAAAAAAGTTTTCGGTAGGTGGCACGCTGCTTTGCATGTTCATCGGCGAAAACCAAAGAAGATCCCAGGAGAGCATTATTGTTCCTCTCTCACGGGAACAAGACCGTGAGATAGGTCATTATTCTATTCGTGGGGGCCCAATCATAGCAAATACATTATTCTATTCGTGGGGGCCCAATCATAGCAAATAAACTCCCGCAATTACAAAAAAATTATCCTTTAACGAACGGAGATACCTCAATCTCGGCCTTACATCAGTCTTCTAGTTTGCAGTTTGAATTTTTTCGTCCGAGTCACTGTCAATGGCTATTTCTTCTGCCAATTTCGGCTACATTTCGACCATATCTTCCTTTGAAGCGCTTTCTTAGAAGCGTGTCCTTATAATGACCTTTCAATTTTGAGTCTCTACAATTCCCAGGAGCAACTATAACTAGGCGGAGCAGACTAGAGGTTGTTCGAGAGACCTCACCCCTCCCACTTCTTCCCTTTCCCATCTGCCTTCTCTTCACAGAGCACTAACATTTCCTGCTGTACCTAATACCAAAGATTTCTGCCACGAATTGGCCCGCACGGAGCTAAGGACTCCCCACAGAGGAGCCACCAATTATGTTGTGGGCGGACTCTGATGCTGATGTTTGTGCGTTTTCTTCTTATTCATTTTTGATGTCAATGTACCTTTGCATTCATTATCAATGAGTGGCTCGATGCTAACTTTTCGCTCTTCATTGGTGACTTTTGTACTCACAAAAAAGCAAACACTGGTTGCTAAACCTAGCGCAAACATTGGAACGAAAATACGCTGGATGGAATTGAGATAGCGAAGTCTTACAATGGAAAAGTGCTTGGATTGAGCTTTTTGATA